AAAAGTTGTTTGCAAGCTTTATTATTTAAATAAGATAGAAGACAAGTGATATCATGTTTTTGATAAAATAACACATCAAAAATCTCTTGTTTTCCTAAGGTATTTGACACAAAGACAGTCCCAGTTAATGGATAGGCGGAAGAATGCAGAAGAACTACTCAAATGGAAGACCATGCTGGACAAGGAAGAATCTAGGGTATTTAAACTGGAAAAACAAGCATTGAAAGTATGGGATAAAAAAGACAAAGATGTGAAGAAGGAGAAAGAACCATCACAAAGTGCGGCCAAAAGTGAAACAGAAAAGCCGTCAAGTAAGAAGGATAATGGAACCACAAAAGGTATTTAATATCTTAATGATACATAAATAACCAATTGTTGTATATTGAAGGATCTTGTTATTTACAGATGTTGTATTATTTGGCTTGAGGTTTTCCAAAAGTCCCTTTAATCACTGTTCGTAGGGACTCAAGTGACATTATGGGATGAATATCCATGTTCTATTCATACTCCTTGTAAGACAGGTTGTGTGCTTTAATGGCATCATTCCCTATTCAGCACGCCTTTTCTGAATGAATTGCTTTTTTCTGCTGTTTTGAATGAAGTTGTAAATTCATATGCTACTACGAGGGATGATCAAAAATTAACCGGACTTTGTAAACGATTCTTAACCTGTTAAATAAATTTGCTTAACAATACACGGAAAATAAATCGGAATCTATCCTCTAAATGATACAAAAAATACCAACAAGAAATATTAACAAAGAAAAAAGTTATGCTGTTATTGGCATGCACATGTAAAGCAATGCGGCGCACGGTATAACTTTAAAATTGACGTTAACGACGTCACAAGCGTATTGTCCTTAACGGAGCAGATCTTTACTCATTCACGGAGTAGGCCAATATGTGGTACAGTTATGTTATTGATGCGGCGGATCTCCTGCCTATATATATTTCTGTACAAGTGGGTATCATATTGTATTATAATAGAATGAATGGTGATAAAGAACTCCGGTAATGATGCAAACTTCCGTTATTTCCTTCTGTAACTTGATTGTTGAAAAAATCGCACATGCAATTAACTATATTATGTATAAATTACAAATAATGTAAAATAATGATGCTGAATGATAATGTATCATACATACGAAAAAATAACAGAATAATACAACTATGATCAAAATTGTCATTATTTTAAAATAAATAAAACGCATAGCCATTTTGAACAGTGGCTGTTAAATTGTTGACAAGACTACTGCGTAAAATGAGAGAATAATTGATGCAATTGTAAACCAAGAATATAATACATGTAATTAATGCATTAACTATTTTCATTTTAAGATCCTCAGAGTTGACTGCACCGTCCCGTAGTTATTATCGAACATCGTTGACAATGTCAGCAGTCAATCGACTGTCATTTTTCAACGTCTTGGCGATTGACGTCACCAACGTCCTTGAAAATGTCTTTTTTCTGTCTCTCCCTTACTTGTTTCTATTTCTCTATTATCTTTTCTTAATCTTTTAAGCTAATCAAAAAATATGCTGTGGCTTTCTGGAACTTTTCCCTTGTTAGCCATAATCTTTTTCTACGTTTTAAACAGTTTCTCGTCTTACATTTGACAAATTTTTCCTATTGATCGATTTTCGAGACATTCCGACGACATAGTTTTAACGCGACTATTTCATTAACATGTGACGTTTGAATTGTGATTGTAAATATAAATATGGTTTAAATGAAGTCATTTTTACTGACAACGTCAAAGATATTGTACATGACGTTTTGGCGTATTTTGAAATCTAATTGTGCCATATTGTAAAATACACGCAGCATAGAGCGCCTCATGTCAAGGCGAATTTACGCACTGCGCCGGGTGTGCGTTACCATGGTTTTTGAATCAGCTGTTACGGACAAGCTATTTGCGTTATCAGATTAGATATAGCATCAGTTTACAGGTATTGTTTTCCGATTAAATGTGATATATAACAATAAGTGATAGGATGAAAATTCTTCAATTGCCAGTCACAGTCCGGTTTATTTTTGATCATCCCTCGTATAAGACAAAATTGCTTTATGAAAATATTATTATTCATAATTTCTCCCCAAATTATAATAAATATGTAATGAGATTTTACATTTTGTTTTTTTAGTGTTTAATTATAAAATAACACAATATTTGCTAAGAAAACATGATAAATTTCATGGGTAAATATTAGATGGCTGAGTATGGTTGCCAACTTGTTGACTTCAAACTTTTTGGATGCTTTCATGTTAGGGAGTTGTCAAATTAGGTTATGAAAGGTCAGTGGCTATACTCAGCTTCCTATCGTGCCTGAAATAATGCCCAGAAGGGCACCTAAGGCCTGGCTTCAAATTTACCATGAGATCTCAATAGTGTCGGTGAGATATAAAACTGTAATATCAGAAAGAGAAAGATTAGAATAAATTAAATAATTTATTTTTCTAGATTCTACAATAAAAACAATGTCAGTGTCTCAGGATAGAGATAGTACTGTAATTTCTGAAACAATAACAACTGCTCGTGATGAATCACTCTACACCAGCATCAAGGAAGACATAAAGACAGCCAGTCTCGAGAGTTCGCCAGAGGAGATTCACCGACGAATGATGAATGACAAGTCTAATATTAAGAATCATAACCGAAGTGGTAGCGAAAGCTCTGTTATGGAGGATATTCAATCAGTGTCTAGTGCTGATGATTCTAAAAAGTAAGTGTTTATAACTTTTATGAAGTGGAATAAGCTCTGTCTTAATTTCTAAAAGCAATTGCAAGATAAAGTGCCCAGTTATATATGTCTAAAATCATTAAAGAATAAGCATGAATAGAAAAGTTGTGGAGCTGTTTTCTGCAGAAACATAAATTACAATCTAGTTATCCTAAGTAAAGTTATTACTTAATGTATCATGAAATGTAATTAACATAATCTTTATTGTTAGATAATCTTTCCAAAGAAATTATTCTACAGGTCATTGGTTAAAATAGCAAAATAAAATGGTGGGCTATAATGAAATATTTTGCTTTATCTTGTGTTTATTTCTAGCATTGGTGAGATTTTACGCCTTAGTTTTCTGTTGTTTGCAGGATGAATGATTCAAGTGATGACACCATGACGCACAGCTATGGTAACGAGACCTTTGATGACACAGCCACTGCATCCAAAAAGACAAGCAAGAGTCAGACCACATCCAAGTCTCCTCTTGAGAAACTAAAAAAATACAGAGGCCTGTCCTCCCCTGGAAGGTCACCTAGGGGTTTGTTTAGTTCCAGAAGTCATTCTCGAAACTCCGAGAGCGAGTCAGAAGATTCATTTTCGCTGAATGGTAAGTTAAATATTCTATGTTGTAATTATACCACAGATTGTCTGAGAAGTTAGAGAATTTTTTAACGCCCATATATTAATTATTATGGTGGTGAGGGTGAACAAACCTAAACACACACAAGTGAGGCAAAATTTCTCTGGGACAGCTGATGTCAGACTTTGAGTCTAATTATTATGTAACTTTACTGCTGATTCAGAAATCAGAGATTGAATCAGGATTGAAATTGGATATTACTAGTTAATTATCCAGTAAGGCTTGTTAGGTGGACTGACCACCAAGTTACAGCCAAGTAATGTGTTAAAATTGGCATAAAACCAAACATACAAAATGCTTTCATTTCTTTTTGAGAATCAAAGAAAGAGAAAACAATATAGAGGATAAATTTCCGAATAAGTATCACTGATTTTTACCTCTAGCTTGACCATTTGAATAGTTATTGCTCCATACTACTCTTTGTGGCTTAGCAGTTGATTAAAGTTTTGCATGGGACAGATAAAGATTTTACTGAATTATTCCCCATTAGTTAACTTTGAAAAAGCATGTACAGTTTTTACAATAAAGATATCTTGTTATATTTTGTTACTTTAATTTACTTTTATTATGAAAGGAATATGGAAAATATGAGTAACATGCTTATGAAATAGATGTTACGTGGTATTGAAGAAATCTTGCAGCCACTAGTAATATCTTTTATTGGTTTGGTATATTCTAAATTTTAGTGACTTTTACGTCTTCAATGTACAGACACATTGCTAATGTACTTGTTTGTACATTTCCAAGTTATTTATATAGAATGTTAACTTGTGTGTGCTATTTATAGAGTCGCAGTCCGAGTTGAGTGACTTTGAGGGCAGAATACGGGCTTTGAATGAAGAACTGAGAAAAAGGAAAACTGAGGCAGATAAGTTAAAACGGGAGAGAAAGAAGAAAAAGAAGGAACTGATGAAGAACAAAGAAGAAACTTTAAAGAAACAGATTGAGGTAATTGTTTGAAATTTTTAGAAAATGCCGACTTTGTTTGACTCATTGTCACATGATACAGTGAGAACATAATGTTATTGAGCTGCTCTTCAAGTGGATGTAGGTAAAAATTCACAGCATGATGCTTGCAGTGTAAGATATTTAGGTTAAATGACTAAGCTATGTCTGATGAAAAGTAACATTTTGGTGTTTTCATAACAAATAACTATGGCCTTTTCTTGAAAGATTTATAACATAAAATGTCTTAAATAAATCTTTAATGAACATGAATGATTTTATGTAATCAAAGTAAAATGTACTGGAACAAATTATTCGGCTTTTTTTACTGTATTCCTAGAAAAGATTTCGTGCATTTTAAGTTAGCGCTTTTCGCGGTAGGCATGATTACGCGATTCTTTATGGCCGCGAATATGTCACTTATAACAAATCCGCGAACATTTCTAGCTTCAACCAAATAAAAACATAAACGTTCCAAATATTTGTTATAATTTACTTTCACAATAACATATAAACACAGGTGCTATAGAAATGTGTAAAAATTATGTAAAGTTCATCTTACTAAACCACCACATGTTTTAGCTTGTAATCCATATTTACACTTCAATATACCTATAATGCACATAACAAAAAAAAACACATAAAAAAATGTCAATTATTAGTAATTATCACGCTTATTCACATTATTTGCTAGTCACAGCGTATACAAAACATTTACCGTTTGCGTACATTAAATGACTTGGATTTTATTTGCTTGGAGAAGTTTTAATCCTTTGTTTTTAAAGTACAATAGCTACATTGATAAAGATCTGTTATGTTGTTATAATGAAAGCGATGTACAGTCCAATACTGTTAAAGTAGCACAACATAACCGTTATATAAATCCAGACGTCTGGACCGGGGAAAAAAAACTGGGAAATTTCCTGCTACCTTTGAGTAATACACTTGTTCTAGTTTATAGATTTTAAGGTCAATCATGAATTGCTGAATAATTTATGTGACATTCATAAATGGAAAATCAAATACATGTAGGTTTATACCGTAGCCTAAAAAAGCTGTTATTTAGGCCGTAGCGAGTTAATTTTCGCGGACGTCACGGTTACTACAAATCCGCGAAAGTTTGTCTCCGCGAAAATGCCGACGTTGTGAAAAACGCGAAATATTGTATCTGCGAACATTTCTAGGAATACAGTATTAGGTTTGCCGATGACAATATATCTTAACATGTTGACTCAATTTCAATAAAACATGCTAACAATTTCTTCCATTCAAAGTATTCTGGAATCACTTTATCCCAATATAAACAATATTTTACAATCCACAGGCAGCAAATATTACGAGGATATTTTTTCTTTTGAGTGAAATATTGAATATATTTTCACGAAACATAAAATGACACATATTTTCACGAGCCGGGAGTGTTGAGTGCAAATATATACCATATTTCACAAAAAACGTAAAAATAACCTTTTTATTTAATTTCATTACCAAAGAAAAATGGTTACGAACACCTCTGCTTGCAACGCAATTTCAATTGTACAGCGAGCAGTAATATAATTATTGTCTTGTTTTGCACGCGATATTTAGCGCTACATTGTTCATGTACACAACTCTTTAAACGTCTGTACAGCATTAATGACTGAATTCAAGATATTGGTGTTCGGATTTATTTTCTTAGTTAAATAATTTTCTATCATTCTAGACAGTTTTCAAAATTCAACAAAAAATAAAATGGCGAAAGAAGTCTCTTAAGATAAATCTGAGTTTTGACTCCACCCACTTTCATATTTATATTTCATATTTATTTTTAAAAAATATGAAATATATTTGACTGATATAGCACCATATTTCATGAGTTAAATTAAATAGTAATCACTTTTAGAAAATTGTTTTCTGGTTAGTTATACAAGAAAGCTGGTTATGTGGATTGAATGCCAAAATATAACCTAAAAAAGTGTGTAGAAATCAGTGTTAAAACCACAAAAACAAACAAATCATTTGGAAAAAAAAACTAGGATTTTACAATCGTCAGATTTTAGTATTAATAATTGTTTCTGCAAATTTAATTTCAGTCTCAAAGAATTTGTAAAACTTGATAGTTGAAAATGCATATTTTGTTAATGTTATATTTTAGGCATATGACAACCAGATTGCTCAGTTAAAAGTTGACCTCAAAAAGGAGATGAATCACGAGCCTGCAAAATCTACTGTCCGCCCACAGATTAAACAGCCCAAAGTGAGCCCGTCCAAGACTATCAAAACACCCACAAAACGTTTAGATACTGACAGTAGTGGACCAGACTCTGCTCAAGTGTCACCAAACATTCCTGAAGATAAAGGTAAATGCAAATTATCTCCATTTTTTTTGCTGAATAATGAAATTGCCAAGCTTTGACTTAATCAGCAGTCCATTCAGAGTTTAAGGGATTTCAATAACAAAACACAAAGATTGAGCTACTAGCAGTATAGTGCTTTTACAGACTGCATGGGTGTACATGCTTGCCTGGCTCTATACTGGTGGCAATGTCTCATCACTTTAGCTTCCAGGGGCATCCGTGGTTAAGGTCGTTGACTTCAAACCACTTGCCATTCACAGCTGTGGGTTTGAATCCCGAAAGGGACTTTGGATTCTTTCATGTGTGGAAGCTATCCAGCTAGCTCATTGAACGTTGGTGGTTCTACTCGGGTTCCCGTTCATGCCTGAAATAATGTATGGAATGGCACCTGAGGTCTTCCTCCACCAATAAAGCTGGAGCGTGGCCATAAGACCTATAATGTGTCATTGTGACGTAAAACCCAATTAAACAAACAAAAACTTTAGCTTCCACCAGGTTAAGGGTTGAACAAAAAAGATAACCTTTTACAGTTCAAGAGTAAAACATTGCTGTTGGTACAGTATCGAAACAAGTCTACTTCCTGTTAAGTTTAAGTACATATGCACCAAAGTAAGGTACAATGACCGGAAGTATAACATGGTTTTAATCCCAAAATAGGAGAAATGTCTAGGCTAACAAGACGGGGTTCAGTAATTTCTATTATACACTGTGTTACTGCATATTTCTTCATTGTATTACTTTATTGAAATGAACCATATGTTCTAATTATCTGATGGACTATTTCTAGTAAAATTTTATGTTTGTTTGATTTGTTTCAGGTCAGGACAGCTTTCGCTGGTTTAAAAAAAACACACTTAGATGTTTAAGGTGCTCTTTAGAGTCCTGTTAACATTTTACTCTGAAGACAGCATTTTATCACTTTTTAATAATTAAAGAAATATTTGTACTTCTATTGTTGTCCTATGTCTTAATATGACTGTATATCTATTGCAGACCAGAAGCAAATGTCACCAAAAACTCCTGTGACCCCAAGCAAAACAGCCAAATCCCATTTAGACAAGATTTCCGAGGGTAGTGAAACACCCACATCACGTTCAGAGAGATCTGATCTTTCATACCAGGAGCGTATTCAGAGCATTAAAGATAAATTTAGTGGAGAGATCTTGTCAGCTGTTGACGATAAAACTGACGAGATCGAAGAGGACATTATCTCTGCTGCCTCAGAAGCTTCAGATGACAAGTCTAAGGAAATTAAAATCAATCTCAGTACTAAAGAAGATATTTATGATGTGTCAGTGTCATACACTGATGACTTTGCTACTGAGCCAAACACTATGACTCATCATGAGAAACTGCCACTAAGTGCCAGATCAGTTAGCCAGATGTCTGAAGATATAGAAACAAAAACAGTACCTCAGTCTGCTAGATCTATTACTGAACAAATATCAGAACAAATATCTGAACAAATTTCTGAGAATCTGCCTTCAGAGTCATTTATTAAACAACTAGATTTAAAGACTCAAGGGAAAGATACTGATGTATTTGGTAAGGAGAAGGATAATGATAGTGAAGGGGATATTTCTCAGAGGTCATCGGTTGTTGAGTCATCAAGACCCTCTAGTGGTAGGAGTGAGCGATCTTCGGTGATTTCATATCAGACTGAACACGAGTCTTCCGAATCAGAGAAGTCTCCTGTAATTCAGACGGAAGACAAAGTGCCAAAATTTAATGATGAAGTTAGTGAACCATCTTCAAAGAAGAAGCCAGGCTCTGGCCTGATTTCAAATGTATTTGATATTGATGATTTACTTGGAACAGATAATGAGGATACTCCTGTAGCATCCCCTACAGCTACTCCAAGAGAAATATCGAAACATGAGAGTTTAAGTGAAAAAAGTGACTTTTTTACCCCTCTTGCTGATTTTGAAATAGGAGATGGAGTTTATGTAACTGGGCCTAGTGGAAAGAAAGTGTCAGGAACATTGCTTTTTAAGGGAAATGTACAATTTGCACCTGGTGTTTGGGCAGGTGTGGAATTGGACCATCCAGAGGGAAGGCATAATGGAATTGAAGATGGTGTGAGGTATTTCACATGCAGAGAAAAACATGGTGTTATTGTTCCAGCTCATGATGTGCAAGCAACTCCAGGGGATGAAGAAGAGAAAGGGCCTTTACTGGATAATGTAGATGTAAGATCCAGTATAGAAAGTGTACAGAGTGTTAATACTGAAGATGGTGACTTACTTAGATTTATTGCTGAGGCTGATGAAAATGTTCAGATGTTTGATGAATCTCCTCAGGAATCACCAAGAGAGGCAGACAAGGAACTTAAACCTGAGACAAAATCCAGGAAGGAAATTTTAGCAGATAAAATTACAAATGACCTGTTTGAGTCAGTTGTTAGAGAAAATGTTAACACAATAAGTAAAATTGCAGATAAAAAACAAACAACAAAGAAGAAAGGTCCTCCAGTGGCACCTAAACCGGCAAAGCCTCATCATATTGAAGAGGTACAGACCAATGGAGACATTGATGACCTGGAAGATTTCCTTCAGCATTCCAACTCTGAACAAGGTCCAGATGAATTTCCTGCAGAGAGAAATGAGCCATCAATTGATGACCGCACAGACGTTGCTGTCAACAATATGATGAATGATGCCATTGAGCACATGCTAACCATTAGAAAAAATAACCGCCAGTCACAAGATGTGAACCAATCTCGAGACAGTGGTATCTTAGAAGTTGACGAGGATCAGAATGAGAGTCCCCCTTCACCTACCGATGAAATTCAGGGCGTACTAGACAAAGCAGATGATGATATGCACCTGGATGCTCCACTCAGACCAGGCTCACCTGTGCCTGGCCTACAATCTGATAAGGTACTCATGTCATGTGAAATTTTTATTCATTTGTTGTGTGTATTTAATGTTTATAAACTTTACACACCAGGCTAACCTTATGAAAGATTGAAGGTTTTACAAATGTGTCCACTATTGTGTGAAAGAATGTTTTATCCTCTGCTTAGAATTTGACAAGTAACCTAAATGTTGTCCTTGTAAAAAGATTTACAATATATCTTCAAATAATGTTAAACCCCTGGCGAGGATGTAGACATGTTTGTATGTCAAAAATACAGAGTAATGCTGTATATAATATACTGTAAAGAACTAAATAAGTGAAAACTGATGATAGTAGTAATGTCCTTTTTATCTGGAGACAATGATAAACAAAAAGTGGTTTTAGTTATTTATTTTTTATTTATTTATTTATAAGACCAATTCACTTCCAAAACTGGGCTGTTGTGGTCCAATAATATTTTTGTTTGTACTTTTTGCTATGAAAAATATTAGGGGACTTGGATAATGAGTCGTTAAGATGGCTGATTTTGAACTTGACCATTAGAGCTACAAAAACGGCTTCAGTCTTTAATGTGAGAAAGTTATACAGCTAGAAGGTTGATGGTGCTACTTGGGTGTCAGCTTCTGTCTTAAATAATACATGCTGAGACACCTGTCTTAAATAATACATGCTGATACACCTGTCTTAAGTAATACATGCTGATACACCTGTCTTAAGTAATACATGCTGATACACCTGTCTTAAATAATACATGCTGAGACACCTGTCTTGAATAATACATGCTGATACACCTGTCTTAAATAATACATGCTGATACACCTGTCTTAAATTATACATGCTGATACACCTGCCTTAAATAATACATGCTGATACACCTGTCTTAAATAATACATGCTGATACACCTGTCTTAAATAATACATGCTGGTACACCTGTCTTAATAATACATGCTGATACACCTGTCTTAAATTATACATGCTGATACACCTGTCTTAAGTAATACATGCTGATACACCTGTCTTAAATAATACATGCTGATACACCTGTCTTAAATAATACATGCTGATACACCTGTCTTAAATAATACATGCCGATACACCTGTCTTAAATTATACATGCTGAGACACCTGTCTTAAATAATACATGCTGATACACCTGTCTTAAGTAATACATGCTGATACACCTGTGTTAAGTAATACATGCTGATACACCTGTCTTAAATAATACATGCTGATACACCTGTCTTAAATAATACATGCTGATACACCTGTCTTAAATAATACATGCTGATACACCTGTCTTAAATAATACATGCTGATACACCTGTCTTAAATAATACATGCTGATACACCTGTCTTAAATAATACATGCTGATACACCTGTCTTAAATAATACATGCTGATACACCTGTCTTAAATAATACATGCTGATACACCTGATGTCTTCACCAGTAAAAGCTGGAATATGACCTTAACAGTTATGATATGACTTAAAACTCAATCTAAATATATTTTCAGATGTTTACTATGATCTTGTATAATTTCAGGAAAGTCATAAGCCTGTGACAGATAGTGGTTTGTTTGAGGGAGATTTTGAAGAAGAGTTTTGGGTGCCATCAAATAAATCATCAACGAACTTCACCGGTGCTGAAAACGGTGAGTTGATAAAACCATATACATGTATTATTTGTCGAGTTTTGCCTTTCTTTTGCTATATTTTCAGTTCTAGGTTTGACCAATAATGATGAAAAGATACAGATGCTATACCCTATTTCATGAAAGTTATCATTCTTAATTGCCATCATTTTATAGCTTTTAGCTCGACTATTCGATAAGAATAAGTAGAGCTATTGTAGTCACCCGAGCGTCGGCGTCGGCGTAACCACTTACGTTAAAGTTTTTGTAATAGTTCAAATATTTTCAAAGTCCATTGACATATGGCTTTGAAACTTTGCACACTTGTTCACCATTCATGACCCCAACCTGTAGACAGGAGGAGGTAACTCTATCAAGCATTTTGACAGAATTATGCCCCTTTTTCAACTTAGAATTTACGTTAAAGTTTTTGTAATACCTCGAATATTTTCAAAGTTCATTGACATATGGCTTTAAAACTTTGCACACTTGTTCACCATCATGACCCCAACCTGTAAACAGGAGGAGGTAACTCTATCAAGCATTTTGACAGAATTATGCCCCTTTTTCGACTTAGAATTTACGTTAAAGTTTTTGTAATAGTTCAAATATTTTCAAAGTCCATAGACATATGGCTTTGAAACTTTGCACACTTGTTCACCATCATGACCCCAACCTGTAGACAGGAGGAGGTAACTCTATAAAGCATTTTGACAGAATTATGCCCCTTTTTTGACTTAGAATCTACGTTAAAGTTTTTGTAATAGTTCAAATATTTTCAAAGTCCATTGACATATGGCTTTGAAACTTTGCACACTTGTTCACCATCATGACCCCAACCTGTAAACAGGAGGAGGTAACTGTATCAAGCATTTTTTTTACTATCAAGCACTAAGAATAGTCGAGCGTTGCTGTCCTACCGACAGCTCTTGTTCACAGATACCATGTCTTTATTAATGGTCTTCTATTACCAATGAAAGGTAATTGTTGCCATATAAGGCTACAGCTAGATATTGTAAAGAGGAATATATTGTGATATTTACAAACATTACATTACATTGCGGGGCGTCCGTGGTTGAGTGGTTAAGGTCGTTAACTTCAAACCACTTGCCCCTCACCGCTGTGGGTTCGAATCCCGACAGGGACTTTGGATTCTTTCATGTTAGGAAGCTATCCAGCTAGCTTACAGAACGTCGGTGGTTCTACTCAGGTACCCTTTAGTGCCTGAAATAATGCAGGGAAGGGCACCTGAGGTCTTCCTCCACCAGTAAAGCTGGAACATCGTGATATGACCTATACTGTGTCAATGTGACGTAAAACTCAAAAACAAAAACAAATAACATTACATTGCAATATATTGTGAACTATCTAAAATGCTTAAGAAAACAAAGGCAAGACCTACGGAATCTTGGCTAAAGGGTTTATAGTTTAATAATATGTCCCGATAAATGGTACATGAGATTTCTCACTGTTTTAAAAGTGGCATTGTAAATGAGAAAATTAAAACAACCTTAAGCAAATGCCATTTGAAGGCAAGCTATATACAAGTTGAGAATACGCCTAAATTTCATAGATTTTTTAGCTCGACTTTTCTATGAAAAGGGGAGCTATCCTACTCGCCCCGGCGTCGGCGTCGGCGTTAGCGTTGGCGTCACACCTTGGTTAAGTTTTTCGTACCACCCCACTTTATTTCAGAAGTATTACAAGTATGGCTTTGAAACTTACCATACTTGTTTACCATCATAACCTCCATCTACAAACAAGAGTACATAACTCTGTCAAGGTTTTTGACAGAATTATGGCCCTTTTTTGACTTAGAAAGTGTATTGAGCTTGGTTAAGTTTTTTGTACCACCTCACTTTATTTCAAAACCATTGGAGGTATTGCTTTGAAACTGACCATACTTGTTTACCATCACGACCTTCATCAACAGACAAGAGGACATAACTCTGTCAAGGTTTTTGACAGAATTATGCCCCTTTTTGACTTAGAAAATACATTGAATATGGGTAAAATCCACTTATTGCCTTAACCCTTTGAGATATTGCTTTGAAACTTTTAATGCTATTTCACATCATTACCCCCATCTGTACGCAAGAGAAGGTAACTATGTCAAGGATTTGTTTTAAAAATTAAGGCCTTTTATCGACTTAGAATCTTGGTTAAGTTTTTAGTACCAGTCCACTTTTTGACTGAACTGTTTGAGATATTAATTTGAAAGTTGGAATACTTGTTTACCATCATGGTCCCAAAACATGGGCAGGAGAAGGTAATTCTGTTAAGGATTTTATTTGAATTATGGCCCTTTTTGACTTAGAAACTCAGTTAAGATTTTCATTCTTGTCCACTTGTTGACTTAACCATTTGAGATATTACTTTGGAAGTTGGAGTTCTTATGTGCCATCATGAGACCTATCTGTAAGCAAGAGAAGATAACTCTGTGAAAATGTTTCTTGATTTGTACTTAGAAATTCCTAGTTAAAGTCTTGTGTGCCCTTAACTGTCAAAGTTTTGTTTTATAGGCAAGCACTAAAAAAGTCGAGCGCGCTGTCCTTCTGACAGCTCTTGTTTATTAGTCCCCTACCGGTTTACCGGAGGGGACTTTAGGTTTACCCTCTGTCCGTCCGTCTGTCAGTCCGAGCAGACAAGAGCTACATTATGAGGTTTAGGTTTATGTACAGGCACTCTGTATGGGGTTCATTCCGTAGAGACATGTATTATGTGGTTAAAAATGCTCTTATGGGGTTAAAAAAATTTGCTCTTGTGGGGTTAAGAGATCAAAGGAATAACCCCACAAACACGTCTGCTAAGTAGTCAGTCCGTCCGTCCACAAAACTGGATCCCGCGATAACTTGAAACGTACTGAAAATATTTTTATGAAACTTGGTATATGGATAGATGGCAGTATGGAGATTATGCACGTCTTTTTCTTTTCTTCCTATGTTGAAAATTCTGGTTGCTATGGCAACAAATAGGCTGAAAATATGGCAAATTTTACACATAAACTGGATCCAGTGATAACCCAAAAAGTACTTTAAATATATTTATGAAACTTGACATATGGGTAGATGGCAGTCTTGGGATTATGCACATCATTTTCTTTTCTTCCTATGTTGAAAATTCTGGTTGCTATGGCAACAAATAGGCTAAAAATATGGCAAATTTTACACATAAACTGGATCCAGTGATAAAGCAAAAAGTACTGGACTTATTTTTATGAAACTTGACATATGGGTAGATGGCAGTCTTGAGATTATGCACGTCTTTTTCTTTTCTTCCTATGTTGAGAATTCTGGTTGCTATGGCAACAAATAAGGCTGAAATTATGGCAAATTTTACACATAAACTGAATCCAGTGATAAAGCAAAAAGTACTGGAAATATTTTTATGAAACTTGACATAATTATGGGTAGATGGCAGTCTTGAGATTATGCACGTCTTTTTCTTTTCTTCCTATGCTGATTATTCTGGTTGCTATGGCAACAAATAGGCTGAAATTATGGCAAATTTTACACATAAACTGAATCCAGTGATAACTCAAAAAGTACTGGAAATATTTTAATGAAACTTGACATATGGGTAGATGGCAGTCTTGAAATTATGCATGTCTTATCTGTTCTTCCTATTTTGAAAAAATATCAGTTGCCTTGGCAACAAATAGGCTTAAAACATGGCAAATATAACAATATTTGTGATTAGTCAAAAAGAGCTGAAAATTTTTATTAAATTGCATCTTTAATTCAAGAGTTATCTCCTCTTTAAGAATTTTGCTTTTAAAATGTTATATTTTGGTAACAGGGATGTTTTAAATATTAACTTTAGAGTGTCCTTCAGTCCGTCTGTCTTTCTGTTCATAAAAACTGTTTCCTGTGATCACTTTTAAAGAACTTTTCCAACAAGTTTACTTAAAATAGAGAAAAATTGAAACATTAGTGAATGGCCAATGGCCCTTCAGAATGTTGATGGGGTTCTAACCGGTAGGGGACTTATGGATTGCTTGCAATACTATGATAATTGCTTGTTATTGAAATTTCATAGCTCCAATATATTGGAATCTCTGAAAGAAATATTGTGATATAATAATGTCAGATAAAATATTGTGATATCCAATATATTGCACAACCCTACATAAGGCATAATGACTATATGGCATAATATTGCCAGTATAAAGTCTGATGGTTATTATGTACCAGTAGCTTGTATTACATTTTTCTGTATTAATATTTTTTGTTGCTGAAAGGTATTGTCAAATGTTAAATAGGTTACAATGAAGACATTTTTCCTGAAGGCCTAATGGAAAATCTTGGTGTGAAATAAATCACTTGTCGAATAACATTGTATATTGAGCACTTTTGCATTTCTGTATTCTGTTTCTGTCAATTATTATAAATCTTTTTTTTTTCAAATCTTTTCTTTACTCCTGTTATGTCTATTAGCATTCAGGTTAAACTATTAAATTTAATTTGTAAATTGAAGTTTTAAAGACATAGGATGATTTTAAATATCTTTGGTATACCTGTGAGGTTACATTTTTTCCTCAATTTTTATTTGACCATGTTTATACTAGCCTTAAAGCTTTAAATTGCTTTTAATCTTTTAGATCTACGATCAAATGTTCCAAGATCAGACCTGAAGAAGTTTGCAGAGGAGGTGTTTTACGCTGTGCCCCATGAGGAGAAAGAAATAGACTCTATAGTTTCCAGTGCCGTAGATGAATTCTGGGAACAAAGACGGTATGGCGAGCCATTAACCGATCTCCACCCTTCAGAAGCATTTTATACACATGAAGAGATTGGCTCAGATTTGATAAGTAACAGTAGACGTGTGTTCAAGAAACTATTATTTGATTTATCTGGAGAAATTATTAGAAACATTTATAAAGAGGAAGAATATGATTCTCCTGTTGCTTGGCACAAACCAAAACGAAAAACTAACAAATTTTATAAAGGTGCTTCCCCTCCTACTACTATAGATGTGCTAAAACCTGTGGTTCAGGAAGCAGTTATTGACATATTAGGTTTAAATGGGGCCAAAAAATCGTCGGAAAAGACTAAATGGGGTATTCGTAAAAAGAAGGATCTTGTTGACACAATTTTGGTGCAAGAATTGCGTGAAGAAGAGCCTGAGTGGGTTAATTATGATGACGATGAATTAGCAGTGAAAATGCAACTAACTGAAACAATATTTAATGATTTATTGACAGATACTGTTCAGACAATGAACAAAATCTTTCGCAAGAAGCAAAGTTTGCAGCAGCAGACATAGGCAGCTATTTGATCTGGATTATGTAAAAGCTTTTGTGATCTGATTTCATGCAGATGCTTTTTTGTGATCTGAGTGATGCAGATGCTTATTCATCTGCAGTTACAGCTAAATGAGTGATCTGAGTATATAAGAGCTTGCACATGAATTTTATATTCTGGGGTTTGAATTGAGAACAGAGAATCATGAAGTAGAGCTAAAATGGCATTATGGTCTAGAGAATTTGTTTCATAACCTTTTTGCATTTGAAATATAAGGGATTTTATTTATTTTTTTCTACTCTATTAAAATAATACACTCATCCTTTAATTAGATGATATTGCTCATGTATCAGTGTTAGTTTATTTTGAAAATTTAGATATATTTATTGTTTGAATAATGAAAAAAGACTTCATGAAGGTCTAACAGTACCTGTAACATGAAGGTCAAAGCCTGAAGTCCAGTCTGTAAAGAATGGAAGTTATATAAACTTTAAGAAATTGTGATACCCTTGCATTTTCATACTCTTGTTGGTAACTTTTGAAAGTCGTTGATTTCATTTAAAATGAAAGTGCTCATTTTGAACATTGAGGAAAGATTGTATTTTATTAACTAGTTGCAGGGATTTTTTTTCATAGATCTGTGATATTTGTTTTGTATTGATATACTGTGAAATTAAGATTGTTTGTTTAAGCCATTAACTGTCCAGTCTTGTCTTAAACTAATGGAAGATTGGGCATGCTCACTTGTGACAGAATTAATGCACAGAAGGGCAGCTGAGGTCTACTTTAAATTGCCAAGTATATACAGTAAACAGATAAATTACCATGATTAGAAAAGATAGAATAATGAAATACCTGAGATACATTGTTAAATGTAGCTTACAGTTCACACATGCACATTTCAATATTTAATGCTAAAAACATGATAAGAGGGTTTTTTTGCATTTCAATTTTTTTCTGATTTTACTGTATTACTTGTTTTTTGGAAGCAGTTTTGTTTGTTTAGTCATATACTCTTAGGTTTGTTAGTGAAATGCTCTTTTTATAGTTATGCCAGCATGTATATTTATATATTTCTTTTTTTATTTATTTTGTATGTGTAGTCGAAGTATTGAAAGATTTGTAAATGTTTAGTGACTGAGAGAACCTCACAAGTGACTTTTTGTCAATATAGTCCTATAAAAAATACCTATATTAAATAGTAAACCTTTCATATTTTGACCTTAGACAATTGTTTTGTTTTATTTTTCCAACAAACAATTAAAGGTGTTACCTCTGTAATGTGGCCTTCTGTAGACCAATAATCTCTTCCTTCAACATCATCAATTCCTTTAAATGTAAGATCTGTATGTCTAGAGTGACCTCTTTGTCTTATATTTTTATACGCATAAAGAAAATGACAATAGGCCATGATGTCTTATATTTAAAAAAAATGTGTTATTCCTCCAATTTTTGAGGAAAAAAAAGAAACATTTTACTGTTCTTTGATAACTGATGCATGTCCATGTCAGCATTACTATCACATGATGATCTACACATCTCTATTACAAGCAAAATGAAGACCTGGTAATTGTTTCAGTTCCTCTGTTACAAAAGTAATGTCATATGTACCTTTAATACTAGAATGTTCTTACCATAATGTATTTCATAGGTAAAATCAGTCAGAACTATAAATTTCGTTTTATTTCATATGGTATTTTTTAAGAAGTATCTGACGTAAAAGTTAAATGTTCTAATTTTTAGCTCGACTTTTCTATGAAAAGGGGAGCTATCCTACTCGCCCCGGCGTCGGCGTCGGCGTCACACCTTGGTTAAGTTTTTCGTACCACCCCACTTTATTTTAGAAGTATTACAAGTATGGCTTTGAAACTTACCATACTTGTTCACCATCATAACCTCCATCTACAGACAAGAGTACATAACTCTGTCAAGGTTTTTGACAGAATTATGGCCCTTTTTTGACTTAGAAAGTGTATTGAGCTTGGTTAAGTTTTTTGTACCACCTCACTTTATTTCAAAACCATTGGAGGTATTGCTTTGAAACTGACCATACTTGTTTACCATCACGACCTTCATCAACAGACAAGAGGACATAACTCTGTCAAGGTTTTTGACAGAATTATGCCCCTTTTTGACTTAGAAAATACATTGAATATGGGTAAAATCCAATTATTGCCTTAACCCTTTGAGATATTGCTTTGAAACTTTTAATGCTATTTCACATCATTACCCCCATCTGTACGCAAGAGAAGGTAACTCTGTCAAGGATTTGTTTTAAAAATTAAGGCCTTTTATCGACTTAGAATCTTGGTTAAGTTTTTAGTACCAGTCCACTTTTTGACTGAACTGTTTGAGATATTAATTTGAAAGTTGGAATACTTGTTTACAATCATGATTCCCAAACATGTCCAGGAGAAGGTAATTCTGTCAAAGATTTTATTTGAATTATGGCCCTTAACTGTCAATGTTTTGTATTATAGGCAAGCACTAAAAAACTTAAAAAATCTAAAAAAATTCATTCCTATCCACTTGTTCACTTTACCATAAATTATGTCATATAAACATTGCTGTAATATTCAAGGGTATCAAACAACTAGTTATTTTTCTCTTTTTGTACTTGAAATAGATTTCTTGAAAAATTATGTTATTATGTCATTTACCAAGGTGTTCTGAGTGACGTAAAAATACCTTATTCTCTCAAAGTGGGTTTAATACTATTAAATTTATTTAAGGCTCAACTCAGTTTTTTTTTCTTTCTTACCAGCCCTCTTTTGACTTAAACATTTCAAACTTTGCTGCAGTGTTCAAGGGTATCACACAATTCAGTAAAATAATTCTTCACTAAATATCTTAATGCTCATGGCCATTGTTCACTTTAAAAATACAGAGATTCTTGTATTGCCTTTTACTGCAAAAACTTTTTTTATTGGCAAGCAATAAAAAAGTCGAGCGCGCTGTCTTACGGACAGCTCTTGTTATACTGTGCATTTTCTTGAATAAATTTATGCAACGGTTAAACATTTAGTTTATGATATAAAAACTTAAAACGTGAACTTATTGTTTACAAGGGTAAGTGTACTTATGAATGATTGTTTTATACATATATATTTGTAGTTGTAATAGTGTAAGATAATGAAGGAGGAAACTAAATTATAATTTATTATATGTAGCAGTTAGACTTGTGCTAAATGTACAAACAAGCAAACTGAAAGATTTTTTCTTTTAAATTGTAAAGAAAATAAAGAAAAATAAATGCTAACAACGATGCCAAGACTTGATTTATTTTTTGCTCACTTGAGCACTTGGTTTTGAGAGGTAAGCTTTTGTTATTGCAATGTGTCTGTCATTTGTTGTTATTAGCATTTTATTTATACATTTTATTTATTTGTGATAACAATCATTACTCTGCACTTCTTCATTTTTGAGTTTTTGCCCTTTGTTAATTTTCATACTTGTTTTTGTCCAGGCAATTTCTCCTAAACTATAAAATCTATGGACTTGAAATGAGAAGGAGTGCATTGCACAATAACTGGAACTCTTCATTGTTTTATTTTTTGAGTTATTTCCCTTTGTTAATTTTCATATTTCAGTTTTGTCCGAGCCATTTCTCCTAAACTATAAAAGCTATGGACATGAAACTTCATAGGATGATAGATCTCCTTGAAATGAAGTGCAGTGCACAAAAACCGGTACTGTGTACTCCATGATTTATTTAGTTATTGTGCTTTGTTTATTTTCTTACTTCATTTTTGTTTCCCTAAAGCAACAAATACATTTAATTCAGTTTTGTTAATTCATTTAGTGATTTAAACAGATTCTAAACTTGTCCGAGATGTATAACAAAGTCATGGCATTATCTTGTTATCATTAAGCGAAATATTCTTTATGTCGAGAACACTTTGTAAATTAAACATATTTATAATTTAGTAACCATCGTTTGAGCAGAACATGTAAATATCAAGTAATAAAGGGGAATAACTCGTGAGAGCATAAAATGGATTCACACTAGCCATTTTGTAGTATATTGGTATATTGTTTCCAGGATATTACGATAGCATTACAATGCATCTATTGAAAAAAATATTAAGTACTTCCACTATATTGTTAGATTGCTTTTTTTGGTTCTTTTATATAGGTGCTTTCCATCTGTCTGTCCGAATTTCATTTCAACGCTAGTTCTCTGCAACTACTTGCAGGAATTCAACGAAACTTTATGGGAACCATCAACACTAAGAGGAGATGGGCATATCGTTGCCTTGTTCTGGTCAGATGCTTCAGTACTGGCTGGAATTCAATGAAACTTTATGGAAACCATTAATAAGGTTATGGCCCTTGATTTGTTATGCAGTGTGTATCTCTGCTGTTATGTAGAGGAACACATAACATCGGAACAAGTTGGAAATTGTATTAAAAAAAACTTAAGTTTCGGTAATGACTACCCTTATAATGCGGCTAGGTTTTGTTTTAACTAGAAGTGTCATTATAGATTATAACCTTCATCAAGTGGCCAGCATTTGATTTGTATATCTTAGTAATTTTGTAATTCAACCAGCTTGTTTTTTTGTTTTTATTTTTCTTTCTAGACAACATATCAAAAGGTCTTTATCCTTGTCACTCTGGTTCATATATTGTACCTTCATAATAAAACCACCTTAATAATTGCTTTTCAACAATTTGCATCTGTACAATAGGACCACTTCAACTTGTTAAGATTGAGAATCAATCATGTATGTTCTCTTTATTCCTGGACTAAACCAGTACTGGTGATTCATAATCCAGGATAATTGTGTTATACAGCTTCAGACCCAAAGTTTTCCTTCGAACGAAACTGATTTACGTACATATATATTTGTGTATGATAACTAAAACATCAATGTTGTTTCACAATTTTATTTCTATTAAATATATGAACTATGATATAATCTACATACATGTATAGAACATTAATTTATAAAAAGAAAAGATTACTGTTAACATATCATACTTGAATCAGTACTGCCAGTATACTGATTATAATATATATAACAAAATGTACTTTTTCATATTTATCTCCCTTTACTTAATAATATGTAAAACAGTAAAATAGTAATATCTTAATTCTAACATTTTCTAAAACTTGTAAAAAGGTCAAATCTATTGTAAATATCAGATTGATGAAAATAAGAAATAAACTTATAGCATTTCTGATGTATAATGGGACTTTAACCAACATTTCATCAACTTTAAAAAAAAAATCTTTATAAATTTTCATCATAACGTGTCAATATAAATCTTCAAATAGTTTTACAACAGCCTCTCTTCTATCCCAAATAAGTTGCAATGACCTTGAATGCTGTTATGTCAGAAGGATTAAATGATAATTCATGTTCAAACATCATACAGCCTCACGATTTGCATGCATGATATGTGCTACGTATAAGCTCAAATCCAAAGAAAGCTCAAAGGACAGTCTCGAAATTGGCACACAGACATTTCTTAGGTTTTTAAAATATTTCAAAATTTTGCATTACAAACGTACGGTGCAAAATTGGCTCGTTATACTTATATTGATAATTTCCAGAATGTTTTGCTTTATTTTTTTATGATTAAGTAAATAAAGAATTTAGCATAGTTACTTCCCTTTGTTTGATATTCCCCATTTGTGTGTAGCAGAAGAAAACTTCCTGTGCAGGTTTTTTCAACTTGTTTATGTGAACAGTTTTAAGATTTTACAATATTTGCTGAAAATTAGGTAAGTGGATAACTTTCTTGATGTTTGTACCCTTGCTTTTTTAAAAATTATGTTTTAACATAAGATATGTCTTTTTAAGAGTCATGCTCAAAATTTTTAAAAAACTGTCATAGTCTTCGGATATATAATAGTGTTTCTGATAAATTGATGAATTAATGTTAATCAACAGATTGTTTTTGTACAACTTTTACAATTATATATCTTTTTATCTTATTTTGAATCAAAACCGTGTTACTTTAATAGGAATTTGCCTAACTAAGGAAATAAATACCCGCAATGCTTAGAATACATGATTATCATATGTTTGTAACATTGCAGTTTTAATTAGATTATATTTTTCAATGTTAAACAAACAAAAAAAATCAATTTTATAAAGTAATATTCCACCGACAATGACACATAAATAAAAAGGTTTATTTCATATTTTTAGGAAGATCCAGTATAGCAGCTCTATATAAATTGAAAACAGCCACACCATAACGTCAGAACATTCATGTATTTAGGCATAGTATGATTAACATGGAATCACTTGATGGTAAGCTTCAGGTTCTATGCTTCTATAAATCTATCTATGTATCTGTCTGTGTATGTCTATTTATGTATCTATTTATGTATCTACCTTTGTATCTATATACATGTATCTAAGTATCTATGCATGTCTATGTATGTATCTATGTATGTCTATGAATGAATCAATGTATGTATCTATCTTTGTAATCTATGTACATGTATCTAAGTATCTATGTATAGACCGCCTCCGTTGGTCGAGGGGTTAGAGTCGATGACTTCTATCCAGTTACCTCTCTGGCGTGGGTTCGATCCCCGGGAGATGCTTTGGTAGTTTTAGCGCGGAGAAAGGTAGTCTAGTACTGGTGTAACTCTCCAGGAACGATGGTTAGGAAAACTACCTGCCTTTATGACTGAAATACTGTTGGAAAAAGGCGTAAAATGAAACAAACAAACACAATGTTTATGTATGTATCTATGTATGTCTATGAATGAATCAATGTATGTATCTATATTTGTATCTATATACATGTATCTATCTATGAACCTATGTATCTGTCTATCTATTATCCCTCTATCTATGTATGTATCTACGTACCTTTGTATCTATCTATGTTTATGTCTATTTATTATCCATCTATTTATGTATTTATCTATGTATGTTTCTATGTATGTATCTGGTTATGTATCTATCTATGTATGTATCTATACATCAATATATGAATCTTTGAACCTACCTTTCTTTCTACCTACTACCTACCTACAAACCTATCTATCTATCTGTCTATCTATTTAGTCTAGTCTGGTCTAGTCTAGTCCAGGTATGTCTAGTCTAGTCTAGAACAAAAGTAATGTAATAAGCATTTTAAAGAAATTGTTGATTACATAAATTTACAAAAGCAGAAAAAATACTTCATTTGACAGACATATTGAATATGTTATCTATAATTAATATTTTCAGGTACGAATCTAAGCTTCCAGAGAAATGTGGGAAATGTTACAAAGAACCCAGTGCTTCTTTTCAAGTTCAAGGTTATATGTCGTCACGCCTAAAGTGCCACAAACATCACCAAAGTCTAAACTAGTACATTGTCCTATAGATTGGGTTTAAAGGGAAGCACTTCAGTGTCCCGCATTGATTAAATGCCAAAGATGTTTCTAAAGGTGCAGACTATGAAGACACTGCTAAGTGATATATCTAGTTATCATTAAGTTGGATATTTTACAGTACCGATTAATTCAACATTATTAGGGGAACAGAAAGATGTAGTTGAACTTCTTTAAAAAAAAAAATGAAGCTAAATGGCACAAGAATTACCGCTAACAAAATTTAGCAAACTGAAACTTACCAAGGCTACATAAGGACAAGTTAAAAGTTGAGGCCCGAAACTGACAGCAGTACACCAAACAAAATAACTTGTAAGAGTTGGTGGGGCAGCTACAGTGGCTGATTGTTTAAAAAATGTTTCTTTTGTAATACAGAATCTGGAGATCTTTCATCAAAGCTTCCACATTTGAAATGGACACAAAAGTTAGCCAATGTGCTTTAGAGTTACAAGATACAGTTGCTTTTAGCAAAACTTAGTGCGGAGACCTCATATCACAAGAAGCCATGTATCATTCTAATTTTTTGGTAACCCTTTTACAATAGGTCCAGGAAGCTGCAAGTAGAAAATGATTCAAATTAAATCTTGTCAACAAATACATGGCATTGCTCTTGCAGAACTTTAGTGTCGTATATAGAAGAGAGTAAGTCCAGCTGATTCAATAACCATACATAAGCTTGCAGATCTTGCCAAGTTAAAAACTTGTGTGCAATCATTGAAGAGTTTTGGAAATCCCCTTCAATGATTACACAGAGGACCTTTTAGTATTAGATACTCTGGACATACTTTTGATATCAGGTGAAGGGCACCGTCAAGCAAATTGAAAGAGTTGGCAAAAGAACAGTTTTGAAACCTTCATTACTGAACTATTTGATACCAGACAAAAGCCTGTCACTGATTCTATAAAGCAGAATAAATTCCC